AAAATATAAAATTATTTTTAAATTAACATTATTTAAAAAAAAAATAAGCCTTTTTTATAAATATTAATTATTATTTAGTTAATTACTTAAAAAGTTAATAATTAAGGGATTTAACTATTAAAAGTCTAGCTTTAATAGAGTTATAGCGCGAGCTTTTTAGAGGCTTTTAGTAGCTTTATTTTAATAATTATAGCGAGGCTTTTTAGGGCCTTTCGGCGATACCGATGAATAGCTTCCTTTTTCTATTGAAAGGGGCCTTTGGCGTTGACATTGGCCCTCATTAACTTCTTACCTACTTGGACCTGACAAGGTGCAGACGGCGGCAACCAGCAGTACACTGTCCGCCACTTTGAAACCCACGGACAGACGGACAGCTGCAGCGCCCTCATCTGGGACTGGGGCTGGACGTGGTACGGCCTCTACCTCGATTCCGCGTCCAATGGCTTCAGCCTGCTGAACTATGAGGCCGACGGCGCCGCGAGAACGCCGACCGGCTCCGTCTACGTCATGGACTCGCTCTTCTTGAACATCAAGACGGGCATCAAGACCAACGCGCTGAAAAAAGACATCAAGGAATCCACCATCATCCAGCTCGACAACGTCCGCACGTCCTATGTTGATACCAGGATTAGCGCCATCGACGGCTCGGCCGTTGAGCTCCCCCCCGGCGACGACATTGGCCACGTCGTGGTTGGCAACGTCAAGATTGGTGGCCAGGCGTTCGGCCAGTACAGGTAAGACTAGATGCATCTTCATCTTGAAAGTCAAGCTTGCACAGCGCGCAGGCTAACCGCAGCCGCCCCCGACCAGCGTCGACGTGGATGCCCCTTCCGAGCGCCTCCTCAATCAATTTACGCAAATGTACAGCAGGAAGCCATACTACATCAGGCAGCGTCCGCAGTACGAGGCGTTTACTCTCGACGACATCATGAACGTCAAGGACCACGGCGTCAAGGGCGACGGGGTCGGCGACGACACGGCAGCCATCAACTCGGTCATGCGCATGGCATCGACGAGCAAGCTCATCTACTTCCCTGCAGGCTCGTACATTGTCACGGGCACCATCCATGTTCCCTCGCACGCCCTTATCACCGGTGAGGTCTGGTCGCAGATTGTGGCCAGCGGCCCCTTCTTCCAGGACATGAAGAATCCCAAGCCCATGGTCAAGGTGGGCAACGACGGCGACCAGGGCACTGTCGAGATTTCAGACATGCTCTTTACGTCAACAGGCTCTCTTCCTTGCCTGGTGCTCATGGAATAGAACGTGGCCGCTGAGGACCAGGGCTCCGTCGCCATGTTTGACGCGCATTTCCGGGTTGGCGGCGCCTACGGCTCGAGTAAGTATCCAACACTGAGGTCTCTGCTGTTCCGCGGTATACATCAATGTAAATTAACCGCCGTCTTTCTAGAGCTCACCCTGGCGGACTGCCCCAAGGTCACCAGCATCCCCAGCGCCTGTATGGAGCTTCCATGCTCTTCCACGTCACGCCCAAGGCCAACGGCTACTTTGAGAACGTCTGGGGCTGGGTAGCTGACCACGATCTTGAGGACCCCAAGAACACCATGGTCACTGTTGCGGTTGCTCGAGGCTTCCTCATCGAGTCCAATGACGGCCCGACCTGGCTGTACGGCAGCGCATCCGAACACAGCATACTGTACCAGTACAACTTTTACAACACGGGCAACCTGTTTGCGGGCATGATCCAGACCGAGTCGCCCTACTTCCAGTACACAGACGCCACGTCATCTCCCGGTCCCTTCAAGAACTCCCTGGGCGTCTTCAGCAACGATCCCGACTTTTCGGAGGCCTGCAACGGCTCCAAGCTTCAATGCGACTTCTCCTAGGCGGCCATGTTCAGCCAGGTCAGCAACGTCACCATTGCCGGCGCTGGCCTGTACTCGTGGTTTGACGCCTACGATCAGTCGGTCTGCGTGGACGCGCAAAACTGCCAACAGCGGCTCATCTTTGACCAGGGCGGCAACGGCGAGCTTTGGGTCTTTAACCTCGTGACGATTGGCTCAGTCGAGATGATTAGCGACGACAGCGGCGCCATAGAGACGGCAAAGGAGAACACGCAGGCCAACGCTCATCCCTTCTGGAGCGCCCTGGCTGTCTGGGGAGACGAGAGCGATCCCCTCGCGCTGCTCTGCGACGAGGAGGACACTGACCCCGGCTGCCTTCACAACGACGCCTGCGATCTCAGCAAGGACTTTGCCGACATGGACGCCCTGGTGGCCGCCCAAGGATCTATCCCGCCAGAGTTCGCGCCTTACTACGTGGTCAACGCGCTGAGCAACTTGCTCGAAGGCAGCCTGGGCGCGTACGACGGCGCCAACAAGGGCTACGACGCCGTCTGGGAGTACTACGCCGAAGGCTTCCGCGGGTCTGTCGACGCCATGATCCGCAAGTTCACGGCCGACTCTACGCCCAGCAACCGCAACGGAGGCCCCGGCATCCACTACTTTGAAGCTTCCTCGGGTCTCTAAAGGTAGGTGGGCAGCTTCCGAACTGAAGAAGGCCAATCAGCCTTGGGTCGATGGTACGGCCGACCCGACATTGGAGGTTGAGTTTCTTGACGGCTAGAAGGGTGTTGGGGAGCACGCATCAATGTGGAAAGAACCAGCCGTCCTCCATACAAGTTCGCCCCTGGGGTGAGATTGTAGTAGCGTTATGCAAAGCGTTACGTTGTATTACAGTTTATACATATTGGCCACCAGTATTTTCACCCCCAGGGGCGAAATATGGCAGTATAATTGTAGCCCGGTAGCTCACTGACCCAACATCCAAAAGCTGGAGAACACACTGCTATTATCGGCTGTGTGACGTTGTTTTGCTCAGCGAAAACACAGACGACATATTATACTCTATACACCGACTCATTTAAGGAGAGTATCGCAACTATATAGGTGTAGACAGATAGCTCGAGAGGTGGCGCGATGCTGTTTCTGTCCTTCGAGATCCGTTTCCCAATCGGCCTAGGGGAGTCACAATGTTCAACCAATAGCCCCTATGGGAAAGGCTGGTTGATGATATCGAGGGGGCTTGGAGAGCGATGTCACGAGCTCTCCTCGCAAGTCGATATTGGTTATAACGAGGAGTTTGCCTATTTGGTTTCTGACGCGGCACGGTGAAATTAATGCTCATCATTACATCTTGCATTACTTCATTTACTGACCGAAAGTGACAGCTACCTCGCCAAAGTTGGCAGATACAACGCCCGCGTCCAGCTCCTCCACCACGGCTTCCACCACTGCAGAGATGAAGAATCCACCCGTCACACTAATCTCTGCGTCATGATGGACCATGTCTTCTGCGAACGGAGCCAAGACAAGAGAGCCCTTGAATACAATGACGTGGTCCTGCGAGTGAGGCAGCCTCAGCCTGATTCAATACACTCCGAGGTTGTTAACGCCCTAGGCAACTCGGCCCTGCCCATGGTTGAGTGCGGGCAAAACCTCGCAGCGGCCGTATGGTGCTTAATTAGTTGACGAGCATGGGAGGAGGTTTGCGGGGTGGAAACGTTGCCTCCCAGGCACTGAGCACCTTGACAAGCAAAGCCTCTTGGTTCTGGCCTGCAATTGCGGCGAGACCAAAGGCCCTGCCGTTAAAGTCGAGGTACGATAGTGGCATCCCTGCCACGGGATATCCTATATAAGAATAAGCCGAAGATCATGATGAACTATTTTACATCGCACCAACCACTGCCAGTCGCCATGCTGGTCAAGAAACTGTCAGCTGGACCAATGATGACATCAACTTCGTATTGTTGTAGAATGTGGTCTACTCCGTCCCCTCTTGCAGCATTTTCGAGGTGCTTTAGATGTCTATTGTAATCTTGCACGGAGACGTGCCTCTCTTGAGCTTCAATGAAGAGGTCCTGTCTAGGGTGGTCTGTATGCTGTTAGTGAGTGGCGTGTGTCAATATGATGGGACAATTACTCACGGGTGGGCAGCTCTTGGTCGGCATGTTGTTTGTTAAAATAGATTATATCCTCGAGACTGCGAACTTTGCTCTCGTTCAAGTCTTGTAGAAACGAGTTGAGTTGGGTCTTGAGGTCAGTCTCTGCTTTGATCAGCAATGCCCTACTGCTCCTAGGCCGTTGTACTTCTCAACGCACGTATGATGACTGTTTCGCTGTTTTCCCCATCTAGTTCAAAGCTGTCCGGTGTAGCCAGCGGAACGTTTGCCGCGAATCTCTTGGCTTTTCCCTTGATGATGTCGTATGCTCCGTTGATGTCGCGAAGCTGAAATGCAATTTCAGCGGATATTCGCCAAACACACGACTTTGTTTTAGACTTACTATTTGTTCTGTGGCCTCGGTTACCGGTTTCATAATTGTATCGGGATATTTCCACACCTCTGGGTCGAGTGTGCCCACCGAAATATCCTCCCAAGAGCCCGTGATATTATGCACCAGCGACTTGGATCCTTGATTGCTACGTATGGCATCTAGCACCACGACCAAGTCATAGACAGTCTTGGCCATGGGACCAGCAGAGTCAAAGTGGCTCGAGATGGGCACGATACCGTCTTGCGGAACAAAGCCTATGCCTGGCTTAATGGTGTACAGAGACGCTCTTCCAGCAGGGCAGATGAGCGACCCGTCGGTCTCAGCACCGATCGAGACGGGCGCGTAGCCGGCGGACACGGCCACGGCTGATCCCGTGGATGAGCCCGAGGGATTCTGGAGTGACGAGATGTAAGCAGTGACTCTTGCGCAAGGATGGCTGTGAGGTGGGTTGCTTACACTGTGACCGTCCTTTGAGTCGTCGGGGTCAAGTCCGCCACGCACGTACGCAGACTGCGTTTGACCACCGACAGCGGACCATCCGCTGGGCATCATGGAGCCTCTACATGAGTGACATGAATTTAGCTTGCAAGCCAATCGTACGAGTATGAGAGAGTGCTGACCGCGAGTTGGAGAATTCCTTGACCACTGTCAGAGAGACTTGCAGTTCAGTTGGACTGGACATGTACTCACACTCAAATTGGACTTGCCCAGGATGATGGCGCCAGCGGCAATAAGCTTCCCATGTCGTGTCCGGTTGGCCACAATGTTAACCTCTTGTCAGAGCGGGTTGTGGGGAGATACCTTTTCCACTACGGTGGCACTCTTGCGAGGCTTGGATCCCTCAAGGGAGAGGCTTCCGGCTGTTGTGCCTAACCCGAGGCTTGGGTGAGTGGCTATCGAGTCCTCCAACGACAGCAGAGTCAGCAGCGTACCCGAGAGCAGTCGTAGACTTGCCCAAGACACTTGCCTTGATGATGATGGGGATGCCGTGGAGAGGGCCGCGAATACTACCAGCCCGTCGCTCCCGGTCCATTTGGCCGGCTCTCTCAGACAAGAGGTGCGTCGGCGTGATCTGAATCATTGCGTGCAAGTATCCATCGTGCCTGTCAATCTGGGCGAGGTAGGACTCGACCAAGCTGCGGCTCGTCACATGGCCCTGGCCCAGGAGACTCTGCAGGCCCTTGACGTCGGCCGTCAAAACGTCGATGCTCGCCACAAAACCCATGGTGAAGAGGAAAAGAAGCGTCGCAAGGCCAAAGGATCGCACGGTGAAGCCGAGGACGAGGACAATAATCATGGGAATCTGTCTCTGCTAATGTATCAGTGAGCATGACAGGAGGAGGGGTAGCGCTGGTAGATCAAATTCTTACAATGGCCATGCGCGGAAAATGAGCACAAGAAAAGACATGACTTGGAGGAGTTTTTTTTTTTCGAAGCGTCAAGTGCGACCATGTGACCTGGTGTGAGCGGCTCCTCGACACCTCAATGGCTTTGCATTTCGCCGTGCGTTTCTTTTTCGTCGGCATCACATCTGCCCTCAAGTGCTAGGTCTGCCGCACTTTTACCTCTCACCTCCCCGAAGGCGAGCACAAAAGATGCTGGCTTCTTGGTCGATACTTGACAGTACCTGTCCAGTGCGTCTGCATACATGTATCATCCTAGCAGACCGAGACAGGCGCCCCAAGGCGAGGCTGCATTGCTGACATTTGCCATTGGCTGACTCGACACATGCACACAGTATCGTGACTACTGTGCCTCGTCGGTTCGCCCAGAGGCACAAGAGTGTTTGACCTGGTTACACCATGGCGGAAGAAATCGCACATTGACACGTCGCCATTAATCGCTTTTCCATCCCGTCGACCAACTCCACCTACTGCTCGCGGCCTTGTGTGCGTATTGGGCTGCATCATGGCCTCATTTCTACCTCACCAACGGGATGCAATGCTGCCGACAACTCACGCACTCATCGAGCGTTTATGCTTCCATGGCGATTCAATGGTCACCGGAAGGAACATACCTATTCGGAGCAAAAGGCTCATTTCTTTGGGGGTTATGAGCTTTGTTGCCTCACGTCACAGTCAGCCCCTTGGTCCATTCCAGCCTTCTCGTCTGCAAGTTTGATGCAAAAAAACAGTTTGTGACGGGAAAGTCGCGGTTCGGTGAAAATCTTGTCATGCAGGTATGTGTGCAAGTCGCACCAGACAGAAGTTTCATGGAAATGGCGAGACGCATGCTGTATGACTTTTGTTTTATGGCAGAGAGGGTGGCCGCGAGATGCCCCAGTGGATGTAGCCATCGACGGGGCAGCACAATACGCAAAACGACGTGGATAGAGCACGTACGGTATGCTCTATATAAGTGGGGTCGTTACTGCCGGTGGAAAGTCCTGTGGTAGGTTTGAAAATACTTTTGATGATTCCATCAAATGTTGATTTGGTCATGTTGTTACTTGTCATGCCAGCGGCGGTTAGGGCTAGGGTAGGCATCTTGCGGGGGCACGGGGTTATGAGTGTTACAGCGCGCTCATGCACAAAGCTGCATACATCAATTGATGCCGTTTACATCGGGTGTCGTATAAAATTTCCCAGAAGGGTTTAGTAGAAATATCTAGAGCGGGAACCCCTTGACCCATAGCCAATAGCATCCATGTCTCCACGGTCACGGCACTCGCCTTCCCCCGCCCTACTAAGTAAGCCATATGACAAACATGGAATCAACAGACTACGCCAGGCTTTCTTCCCTGTTCGTACATGAGGCCAACTGAGTGCGAGTTGACCACGTCCCAAGAGACATGGACAACAGTAATGGTAAAGCCTCTAACCGTACCGTCAACCGTAATAGATCGAAGCTATCGAGGGCATCAGGGCACCGCTCACGCGGCGGATGCCTCACGTGCAAGCAGAGACACGTATGTGGTATTCTGATGGATTGTCTCGTGGTTACTCACAGATCCCAAGGTCAAATGCGACGAGGCGAGGCCAGTATGTTCGAGATGCTCTCAAAAAGGTTGGCCTTGCAAGGGGTATTCTCAGTCCCTAAAGTGGTCATACAAGCATCAGCCGAGGGGAATCGACGCGACCCGTCAGATTCCGGAAGCGCCTTTAGGAGCTACAAAGACACCGACCGACTCGTTAGTGCAGGGCGACCACCGAAGACAAAGGCTATTCTGTACTCACTTTGATCACCGCTCTTCTACTCCCGACCCAATTGTCTGTACGCCGTCTTATCTCATGGACCTCGACTGTCTGGAGAGTACCGACCAGGCTTTTCAGGGTGATGCCGGCCTGTCCTTCACCGAGTTCCATGATTTTGGCCTTTGGCCAATGGACTTCTCCACAGCTACAGTACTTGGGCCAGATGCAGAGTCAAGGCTAGGCCGAAACCCAGAAGAATGCCTCACACCAGACTTGGGGGCATTCCTGGACGTGCAGCATGTACAGTCTGTTCCCAATGAGCCGTTAGGAAGAATGACGGACTACGCTACACAGCTTATAGCGCATTGGTTCCACGAGGTCTGTCCAGCGTGGTCTGGATTCGATTCCATCAAAAATATGAATAGAAAACTTGCCGAAGACCTGTGGCATAGTTCCTCCGCCGTCTTCAATTCACTTCAAAGCATGTCGGCTAGTTTCCTCGCTGCCAGGCTACCGCAAATGAGACCTACCGCCTTCCGTTTATTGAAAACGGCAACATTGTGCATTCAAGCAGAAGTAGAAGAGCTAAAAGGCAAGGCGCACCTCGATACAGCACCAATCGGAGTAATTTACTCGTTACTCTGTCTGGGAACTACAATCTGCTGGTTAGACGCTCGTCGGGTCGGCTGGCCATTTCTTCAAGACGCAAAGAGTTTACTTGGACGGACCATGCAGCAGGACCGCCACTTGTCGGAGGGAGACGCTAACATACTCGACTTTTTCAGCAAAAGCCTGGTATACTGGGAGATGCTAATCTCTTTCATATATGATCCGGAGCCAGGACTTGCTCAGCCGAATCTTGTTGGGGCATCCAATTTTGATTCGATACCCCATCCATGGACCGGAATCTCATCGTTTACCTCCCGTCTCTTTACACAATCAATGAGCGTGTGTCGAACCTACCGATCTCGGAATTCGCTGTCATGTATAGGGGGAACCGGTCAACCACCTGCTAGGGAAGTTGGGGAGGCAGAAGAATTGGAGAAGCATCTTTTACAACTGCAGTTATCGCCAAGCCCCTTAATCGAGGATACAGGCGACCACCGTACCCCCTATTTCCATCTTTTACACGTGGCTGAGGCCTATCAACTTGCTTCGTTACTCCAATTATACATCACATTTCCCGACTTGGTTTCTTCACGAGTGCCTCGAGAGCACCATCACTCATATGAAGGGAATGCCATGTGGTACAAATGGATTGTGCCCCTGGCTTTGCGACTTACAGAAGTATTAGAGCGAGTTCCGCCCGACTCAGGAAGCCTAGTTATTCAGCCATTACTTTATGTCTGTGCCGCCACTGGGCTTCGGTGCGACACTGTTCCGAAGCCAGGCAAATACCAAGACGGTGTTAAAGAATCGGGCAGGCCTTCAAGACCAATGGAGTGCATTTTGGATTACGTCAGTTTACTTGATAGGCCTGCTGAAAACCACGAACGAGAAGAATACTTGGTTACGCAGCTAGCCCTAAACGTCAGCCAAGCCCGCAATTTCATCATGAGACGGATTAGCGTCTTGAAGGACAATCTACACCCTGTGCCGGTCCGGGTCACTGAAAAACTTGTCAAGGCTGTTTGGACTGCCTATGATGAAGAGCCTCAGGGCTGTGTGAGCGTTCACTGGCTTGATGTAATGGAACAGAAGGATCTCCGAACGCTGTTTGGTTAGTGTTGGGAGAGGAGCTTATAAACTTGCATGTTGGAAGATTGACTCTCCAAGTTGACAGTTTCCTGGAGGTAGCGACAGCGGCTTATGTCGACCTATTCTTCTCCGTGGCCCTATTCCATGCATGGGAATAGCTTGATCAACAAAATTATTGAAGCCTTACACGACGACAAACTATGACAATTTCTCAATGTAAAGCAGAAAATAATGACGATAATCATATCAGGGCCACGTTTTTAACAAGTTTCAATCATACATGGTCAATAAGGCTGAGAAAATGTATTTAATTGCGCAACTGTACTAGCCTCACAGTTATTCTATGTCTGTGCTTTAGCTCAAAATATCACATCTACCTATCAAGCTGCATAAAAGGTCCAACCCGTTGCTATCCGCTCCGAGATATTAATAGCCATGATATCATGTTATTTTGCATCATCGCATTCAGCCGAATAGCCGGTCAAGTGTTTTTTCAAATATAGTCCTATATATTGGAATTAGTCACGGTAGATGAGCCTCTAGGGCGTGCGTGGCTTACGATGGAGGCTGTGCCTCATAATTACGCTCATAGTCTTCAATAAAATCTTGATCCTTGTTCAGATCTACTTCCAACGGTTTGTGAATCTTCGTTTTATGAAACAGCTTCCAGGAAACGTACAAAAGAGGTACAACCGCGACCATGGTGTAACTAAATGCGTCCATAGATCATGCGATTTACTGTTGAGAAGTAAGCCCTTTTTGATACTGTTGAAATAAACTTACGAGAAAAGAAAGTCTGGTACGTTCCAGTGACCCTCCAAGGGAAGAAATACTGCATATCCGCCAACCAGAGCCATAACAGCAGTGCCAATGAGTCCATACCAAGCAGTGTAGGGCATGAAAAGCCCCTGGTAAGGCAACCTATTACGGTCGAAGGCCTGCGCTTTTAACGCTCGATAAAAGCATAGATAAGTAATGCATGCGCAAGCAAAGTTGATTAGCTGGGACGCCGTAACCAGAGCTACAAGCCAATTCAACACCACTACACTGCTCTGCGAAAGCTGAAGGAATGAGAGTAACGAAATCACAAGAACACTAGCCACGCAATAAATCGGAACACCCTTACTGGTGCATCTTGTCAGAAAGGCCGGAGCTTTACGGTCAAGCGCAAGGCCGTAAAGGGATCTCGAGGCACAGAATAGATACGAATTTCCAGCTGAGAATACCGAAAGAAGAACTACACCGTTAACGATATGAGGCAGAACAGGTATATCCAGCCTTTTCATCGCCGCAACGGATGGGGCTGCGGCGGCTCCTGGCTGTCCGGTTCTGAAAGCGGCGGCCATACCAGCATCGTCGTAGGGTACCAAGATTCCAACACATAAGGAACCTAGGACGAAGAAGAATGTTAAGCGATAGAAGACGGCCTTGAAAGCCCGAGGTAGGACCTGCCTTGGGCTTGCTGTTTCTCCGGCAGTCATAGCGACATAATCAGGGCCAGCGATTGTGAATGACGCTAGCACCAGACAATGAAGAAAACCAAACCATTTACCTAATGCACCCTCATAGTAGAGTTCGGCAAAGGCCCCTGGTGTCTTCCAATACCGAAAGCCGAATACGTCGCGTTTGGGATTTCCACCTACCATTACAATAAATGTGAATAGGATAAGTCCCAGAGCAAGTAGGACCTTTCCTAGAGCAGCCCAAAACTCAACTTCACCAAAGTAGTGTACCGCTAGAAGGTTTATCGCAACGTACAGCACGATAATAACAATAATCATGACAACAGTCGGAATGGCATCTGTCCAGAACCGCATGATAATATTACATGCTGTCACTTCAAAAGGTACCAGCATGGCTTCGAGGATAAAGAAGTTCCAACCAGTGGCGAAACCAAGTGCGTCGTCAACATACCGGCCAGCGAAGCGAATAAATGGAGACGATATAGGTGTATAGGAAACCATCTCAGCTATACACATGGTGACTGCGAGGACAAAGGAACACCAGAATGTGAAAGCTATAAAAAGGCTGCCGGGGCCACCTTTAAGCAGACCTTGGCCTATTTGCACCTAACATGTTGCAGCTGGGTCAGTAACACAGCCTGGAAGTTAAAGATGACGCAAAGCAAACAGAAATCATCACACGACCGACAAGGTATCAAAACTGCGCTAGGAGATGCATACGAAGAGAACGGTGCCGATAGTGCCTCCAATACCCATAAGTTGAACATGGCGACCTTTCAAGCGTCGGTGCGTATTATCTTCACGGTAAGCCTGAGATAAGCGTAATTGCTGGGCATATTCAATCTGCACACTCGATGTTGTCGTACTATCCAACGTCTTCTCTGGATCCTTAGAGGAAGGGCTCGCGTGGGATGAATCAACCGGCAAGGCCATTGTGATAGGAGAACGTAACTTCACCCTGACAGAGAAGAATATTGGGATGAGGAACTCGTCGTCAGATTGCACGGGCACGGAAACGAGGTGGTTAGTGGCATCTACTCAAGGTAAGAACTTTCCCTGGCTGAAAGTAGCAACGTCGTGCCTTTTCTATTAAATGGCCATGACGAGTCATTCCATTAGCCAATCAGCAACCAATACAGAGACCCCGCGATCTGCTAACAGAGAACGGAGCCTCTGATGAAACCAGACTCTACCGGTCGTCACCCCTGTCTATCTATGTCCTCGACAGAATAAGCCATCTCTGATTCGGTGAAATTGCTGGTTCGAGTGTTTGGTGCTGTAGCGCGTAAAACTTTTCCTTAAATAGTTAAGATCGGCGCGACCTAACCTGGCGCAAAGCAGCTAATCCGAGAACCTTTGTAAAGCAAAGGATGCATTTAGTTAATGTAACTGGTAAGCTGAGCAGACCCCAGCAAGGTTGCCCATGTGGGATAAACCAGGGATTGTCTTGTGTAGTGCATTGTTCTTGAATCGCCCTGAGTCATTTTTGTCGCAGCTAGATTATAGGGCGTAGTTCTGTCATGCTCTTGGGACCCCTTGTCGAGGTCAAAAGCACAGCTACATTTTTAAAACTCGAGAAGGGCACGGGCGCACAGTGAGCCGTTATTCCATATCTGGTGCATCTTGCTGCTGAGCTCATAGGGGGAACTACAAATCACTATGCGATTTTGGCTTGCGAGCTTGACTTTAGGCATTTTAGGAATTCTGTTTTTCCAAAAACTTGACATTGAGCGAGCAAAGAATGTAGTGTAATTCCAAGTAGAGTAAAGGAGTGTGCTTTACCGTCATAAAGCGGTGGATTCATGCGTAAGAGGCGGCCCTGCTATGTTGAGGCACAAAGTAAACCAGCCCTTTGTCCAATCCTTGGGATTAAGCCAAAACCTCACCCACAGCTACTGCGCTGGTCTGCACATGGAATGGAGAAGGCCCTTCTGTATTTTCTTTTTCGAACTGGGCGGAACACAGCTCAAGGACGCGCTGATGAAAGTCTGCAAAAACGTGTCAAGGCGCTATCCAAAAAACTATAGGAAATGGTAATAATCTGGACATTAACTCACAGGCAACACCATTCTCCTTTTGGGGATTGAGGAGGCCTTCCGAGTAGATGCCGACATTATAATTTGTCTGCGCCTTCTCGCAGAGCTCAATATCCTCAAGAGCAACGTTACGAGCAAAGCGGTAATAATTCTCAAATTCCTCGCTGTCGAGAGGCGCCTGGTGATAGTAATCGAATTCCATACGTGACTTTCCAGGTTCTTCTGTGGGGTTGATGCGCCAGCAAGTCAAGCCACCTGCGTACATGCTCAGCGTACAGTTTGGGAAGAAGTAGAAGAAGAGTCCCGCCTCCTTCAGTCCCTTCGCTTGGCTGCTGGACCCAGCCATGTGCTGGGAATAGTTGTGCTTATTCACCACTTGATAAACGGAGGGGTTGTAGATCTTTGCAAACTCGGGATGTGCGTATGCGCAGTGAAGACACTCCTGATACGCATCGACTGCAGCCTTCCAGTTGTTGTTACTTGTGTATCTGAGGGGGCGCCTCAGAGGAAACTGGGTGAAGTCTGCGTGTGCAGTCAACGCCTCAAAACCCGGGAAAAAGTCCTCAAAGGCACATGTCTCGTCAGAAAGCGTCAAGAAAAGGAGACCTGTGGGGGTCAGGTGGCTTCGCATTTCCGAACCCTGGATAGACGTTAGGATCACATGGAAGAGCAAAGCGAAGTCGAGGGTCGACGATGAGATTTGCTTTGGGGATTCAGATTTTGATTTAGCTCACATCACTGTCCTTGAAAACTTTGATGGACCTCCAGTCACTTTCCTCTCGGCGAACCGTAAAGTCAACCTGGGCGAGCTCGTGCTTGTAATCCACTTGCTTTTCAGGAAATTTTGTGACAGCACCAAGTAATACCCATGACTGCAATGTTATCAGAAAGACTCTCGGAAAAGGTAAAGGAACATACTCTGAAGAAGACTGCCCGTTTCTCCAGGCTGCCGATGCCACTGCTGGTATACCAGGACGCAGGAAGAGTTGTAGCACAGTCGCTCATTTTTGAGACTCGGTTTCTGCCTGGTGTAGAGTGAAGGGCTTACTAGTTTGCAAATTGCTGAGAAACACTCAGAGGTTACGAGTCGCGAGATATAAACGTAAAGTATTCATCTTGGTCCCATGTCTATCGCCTTCAGTCGACGCAATTTGAAGAGTTGTGGTCACGAACCCAAAGATGTTACGGTGGTGATGGCGGAATGTGGGGCGACCTTTTTTTGTCGATCCCGATCAGGAAACATTTTACGCAGAAAGGGGTAGTACATGATCCCAGCATGTAAGAGGGTGGGGAAAGATCTGTCAACTGGTTCAGGTGATGCATTCTCTTCGTAAAGATAAGCCGTAGTCGGACATAAACGTGCTTTTATAAGCTATGCAGCCTACATGGCTTGCATGTGCAGTCTGGTAGTATAGTCGTAATCGTTGAATTGGTGTCGCTTAGTGTCTCACAGTTCACGAAATGACCATCCTCGTCGATTCTAGGCATTCATGGTGGCCATGTGTGGATAACCGGCATTGAATGGGTTTTCCAACATGGGAAATACTTTACGAATCCCTGGCTACAGTCTTAGTTTCTATTATCCGCTACAAGACCCTGCCACGTGCTGAGCTTCTTATTTGGTTCATGGCCAGCCTCTGTGCTGCAGATTTGCTCTCATTCCTCCATCTAGGTGCATCTATTATTTTCGGACTAGGTCAATCCTTTTGACTATTTTTGGTGACCATTAGAAAGACCACAAATTCAATGTTTCTAGAAAGCATTCCCTTTTTTGCTCTGTCAGGCACCTTTTATGCCTTGGTGGTATCTTTATTCTTTAATGTCTGGCTGCTGATCCGAAAGCCACCCACGACAGAGCAGCCGTCGAGAGAAAGGCCGAACAGTGCACTGAACCTACCCAAAGGATGGTGGTCAGATCCAGATCGTTTCCAAGCCGAGAGACGGGCAATTTTCAGTCAGGTATTTGTCTCAGTGTCGACATGTCTTCCAATTTTGGCCTGACTTGTCACAGTCTTGGATGTGTGTGAGCCATCGTGGCCGTTTCCGGAAGGTCGGTGACTACATCGTTTATGAAGTTGCTGGGTTCCGCTTCTTCATGATTTTAGGCAAAGACATGATTGTTCGTTCTTTTCACAACGTATGTAGACACCGTGCTTTTCCAGTTGCTAGAAAGCAATCTGGTTCTGCACTGGTGCTTGGATGCAGATATCACGGCTGGAGCTATAACACGAAGGGCACACTTGTCAAGGCCCCCTACTTTGATAACCTTCCAGGCTTCGACAAAAGTCAAAATAGTCTCTTCGAGATTCATACAAAGGAAGACGGATATGGATTTCTTCACATCAACGTTAGCGCCAGCGAGGATGTGGCTACTACGACTCCCCTAGAAGCTACCCGGAGCGGGGAACTCGGCCAAATCAAGCTCGACTCTCACCTGATTGATACCATGGAATTTAAGGGAAGATTCAACTGGAAGGTTATACGTAAGTTCTGTCTGTCGAACTTGACCAAAGCTGCGTCAGATACGATGTACTTAATCCCAAAGCAGTCAACAATCAACCGAAGAAATCTTCGACAGACGCTTCAACCAAGGGCATTATGGGAACCTTGTTATCCCAAAGCCCGCCTTCTGTTGGAAAGATAAGCTTTTTCCCTTTAACGACGGTACAGACTATGTCTAATGGGCCCTTCTGGTACCAACTTACCCACTCTCCTGAAACATCCCAGCAGACAGCAATACGTTGCGACGTATACTCTTCTATTGCCTCAAAAGACTATAAACTTGAAGATGCTACTAAGATTTCTCTTACAAATGAGCTGAAGCAAAATATAAGAGAGTTTGAGAAGCAACACAAGCAGTTGACTACTTCTGGTTACCACTCAACCGGTGCTAATGGTGTGTATAGCAGGCTGACTTTGAAAATATCTAGGCTAACAATTCCTAGATTCACATGTGAACATTCTTCGCATGGTAGAAGGGCATCTTGGGCAGGAGAAAATCAGAGGCTCTGAAATCAAACCAGCTACGGTTAAACAACAGTTTCAAAGCGAAGCTTTTACTAAAGCTGACCAAAGTGAGTTTTCCTTGGTGAGATTATAATATTTGTTGCGATATACCATTTAGAGGAATTAACGTATTTTATTAGTCTGCCAGGCGATGGCATGTGGTAATGAGAAGCTTGATTGGTGATAGCATACCCCTGGACTTCACCAGTTTATCTTGTGAATTTGTGTGACAAGGGCTATAATTATAGGGCTTGGAACAATGTTCGATATTCAGCTAATAATTCGCTTTGATATCAAAGGTCCTTGGTTTTTTCTCAAGGCCTCGAGGGGCGGATGACCCTTATTTATATCAAGAGGCGGTCAAAGGGCTGTCCTAGGTGCCTGAGGCCCCCGTTAGGTCTTGAGCCCTTGTGTAACTATCGTCATGTTCAAGGTACGGCCCGTGCCTTTATGGCAACGTGACATCCGTGTAACAATTTGTCCCCGGGGCCCGCAAGTCTATGGTGTTGAAAGAAACTTTGCCTGTATATATATGTTCTTTGTGTTTCAGAAGAAGAATTTATGTCTATATTATCAAGCACAACTACCTCCACAGAATTGGTAGCTAATTTGACTCGTCATCGATTTGTCCACCTGATTCTGCCAGGCAGTGCGGACGCTGCATGATAGATTCATATTTCACAGCTATATCCAAGTATGGAAAGGGTATCTCAAGGCCACTCACTAGGATCAAGGAAGGCCCATACCCATAGGCCGAGAATGACGACAACCATCAGACCATACAGCGCCCAAAAACGTTTCATGGTGGTTCCAAAAACCAGGGAGGCGCTGGAAGCTACGAGATATTCAAAGCGGGAACAAGAGACGATGGACAGGCCAGTCAAGGTGACAGCCATTTTGGTGAGATACTCTGCAAAAAGAGAAATCTAGAAGTTTCGTTTGTTTGCGAATCAAGAACTGGGGGTCAGGCACAATCTATTAGCTAGTCTTTGATGCAAATATTGGCTAAGCCTAGAATGGTGTGCAAATAAACAGGCTGCCATATTATTATAAGCAGCAATACTAAGGGAACTTACTCTGTCCTAGGGAGTGTTCTACCCAAGACCTGGACTTCTAAATGTGATTTATGGCGGTTTCACCAAAGTGTCATCATGGGTATGGTCCTCTTGCGCTAGGACAAGTTGGGCAATATATTACGAGGCCGGTAACGGCATTGCATATTCTTTTCATCAAAGTAGACCATAATAGATGCTACTAGACGCCAGCCAGCTTGACTCTAGTTAACTCATACTTGCTGATTGTGGTGCACTTCTTCACATGGATCAGCCTAATTATATCGAGTACGTTGTGGATCGACTTCACTTCAGTCACACGACTTAACCGACATGACATTAATTACAGATGTTCTATGCCGACGCTGCGGTTCTTGCGGCAACTCTACGTTTTTGGCCTCTTCTTGCTAATACAAACTTGTGATAAAAAGCATGAATCTCTCATCAAGAGCTAATCGCGTGAGGCTGAACGGCTCTCCTGTTTCAAAATTTGAGGCACAGCCCTAGATGAAATATCCTGAAGCTGTGAAGTGTTTTGCAGTCCTCCTGGTCATTTACCCGCTATCGTTACTGACTTGATTCCGGTGTAGTCTTCTATCCCAAACTTTGATCCTTCTCGCCCAAAGCCAGACTCCTTGATTCCTCCAAAAGGGCCAGCTGCATCACTAATCATTCCAGTGTTCGCGCCCACCATACCAGTCTCTACCACATCGGAGACTCGGAAAATGCCATCAACATCACCTCTGTCAATGGCCGCAAGCCACCTTGACAAGCTCCAGTCCCGGAAGATAGTACTTGTATTTTGCACCCTCAAAATGTGGATACCCGTTGGCGACCAAGTGGACTAGCCACGGTGCAATACGAGTGCACGAGGCCCTATCCGCCCCGAAATAACTACATGGCTAGGCATGATTCAATTCAACGTGTCAAGCCGAGGAGAAACATTGAATGCACCATGGTCCAGCAAAGGATGAATCACGAAATGCGGGATGCGGCCGTCGCCTATTGGTTGCCATTTAGGATTCAGGAACCTCGAGCACCAAACACCATCCAACTCATGCCACGACTCCGTTGACACAGTCGACGTTTTTCCATTATTTTTATTGTGAGCCCTTCAATTACGCTTGTCCGCTAGCCAAAAGACCAATGCCTTGGTTTTCGTCGTCGTACAAATTTTCAGACGGCTTGTCATCTAAGCGTCCTCTCCTTTATTGTATTCGGCAGTAATAAACCCATCTTCTTCTACCGACAGAACCTGGATAAAGAAGAAAGTAAAAAAAAAAATCAGCCCCACGAATACGCCTTGAAAGGATTTGGTAGGCAATGCTACACCTACATGATTATGCCTTTTAATCTCATCCAGCACATCGTCGGAGAATGAGCCCGCGTAGCCGTGAAACCCAACAGACTTGGCGCGATATGTGTGCTGAATGCCTTGTCTATGGTCCTTGCCGTCCCTCTTCTTTAGGCTGCGCTTATGCAAATCCCTCACCCAGTCTAAATGCGTATCAACATATCTATCGTGTAAGCCTTCTGCTAGAATCACAATGTGGCTGTAACAGTATTAGCATCTGGTACCGGAGAGTATTTATATAATATACTTAATAACATAGATTAGGTTTCTTACCCTCGTTGTTGGCTCGCCTTATTCTCAAATAAACCAGGTGCTGCTACTGCTCCTCCTACTGCCTTTTGAACAAGAGCAGGTCCAAGGGCCAGCGCCCAAATAATACACTTCTTCATTGTGGCGTATAATATAAAAAGATATGATATGGAACCACGTACAGCGTAGTAAAGATTATAAAAGAATATATAAAAGCCAGTGTTTAGAGTAATAAGAAGTAAGTGTATTTTTATTAATAACACAGCCAAGGTGGCAAGTCTTTATAATAACTGTAGCCCGTAATGCGAATAATAGAGACTCGTACACCCCTGTCTAGTATCCCCGTACTTTGCACGGTCCTCGAAAATATGTGGTATGCATTTTGTCCCAGGTTTTGCGTGGTGCCACTGTGTGTCTTGTCGTTGCGGCATTATCGCAAGCCCCCCCAGTACGAGGGGCTCATTTCGGGGTCTCTATTCAAACATCAAACAGAGATTCACTTGACCTATTTTTTTGCCTTGGCGATGAGCAGTAGTCAGTTGCCCTCGGTATTGCCTGCGGGCGTCTGCCAAGAAATCGAAGCACATGCACGCAGGCTCGTAACCTTTCGTGTGGCAGGGAGATGTCCGTCTGGGGAATACACTTACATGCCAAATTTCTAGCCTATACGAACAAGGAAACTATGCTCGCCTTGATCGGGCGGCATTCCGCCCCTGACCCCCTTTGAGCTCGCTAAACTCGCCAAAATCCCTGGAAATGCGAGGCTAACAATCGGGGCGTCGATATGGACCCCACGTCCACATGATAATAATGCGCTCCACCGTTAATTTGATGGTGGTGTATATGGTTATATTTAGCACTACTAAGCTGTTCAAAATTGACTACACGATATACTTGCGGGCCGTGAGGGTCGCGTCAAGCTCAGTCCCAAGATCCTCCATTCGTCTCGACACACACTTGACACTTACAAGGCGGCATTTCCGCCTGTTTCTCTTGGCGCGGCTAAGCTCAAGGTTCTATGGAAACGCACGTGTCGCGTACGGTCATCTCGGCGCTTCGTTTGGTCTGCAGCCGAGTCCACGGCTATGGTACGACACGCCGGCCCCCTTCATCCAAAACCACTCTCTCCATACAAGGCTTCCCATCATCTCCTCTTGGCTCCTAGCCTTCAACAATGATTATAACTTGCTTTCTGGAGTGCCATGGTTAGGTGGATTCAAGGTAATTCTGCGCCTTGCCAGTCGACTCTCCAAATCATGCCATACATGTCCAACCGAGGCAACTTGCTCGCCATGGCACTATGCATGACAACACTATGCACAAGTACCCTTCGGGTCACAAAGGGATCGGCATTGGGACAAATTAACGAAAGAAGACTACAGGCCCCTGTCAATTTCACGGCCAGCTCTCGCATCACGCAATGCAGTCCTCAAAATACAAGTGGTATATAAGCGCCCTGGTTGCAGTGCAAAGGCAATGTTGCACTTGTAAACAACGCCTCACAAGTATGAAAAACCTTTCTTCTCTACAATGAATATCTCGGCTATCCTCACTCTGCTCTTTGGGCTGGCTTCAGCTCACCTGGCTCATACGCCTGTTGTTCTTGAGCCACAGATGAACCAGCATGGATCCGATTTCAATAAAGCTAATGGAGAGCTTCCTGAAATGTCTTCAGAGCGCAATCAACCCGAGGGCTCTTTGGAGACAAGAAACGACATGACAATAGAAAAGAGACATGGGGCTCCAAAAACGCAAACTAGTGCCCCATGGGGCCTAAGATCTATATCTCATCGACTCCCTGGGGTTATCTACGAAGGATTTCCCCCAAGTCAAAACTCGGAATACTACTACGATACTAATTCTGGCTCTGGTACATTCGCGTATATTCTGGATGACGGTATCCGTGAAACACACAAAGAGTTTGAGGGCCGCGCAAAGAATATCTATAGCATATTCCCCGAGAAACAAGCCGGCGATTATGTTCACGGAACTGCAGTCGCCGGAATTATTGGCAGCAAGACATATGGTGTCGCAAAAAAGACGACTCTTTTATCCGTCAAGACACTGGGAACAACAGGCGCTGCCCATTCCGAGGTGCTCAAGGCCCTTCTCTGGACTGCAGAACACATCGCCAATAATACCCGGCAAAAATCATCCGTTATCAATCTATCCTTTGGCGTTGAAAAGAGCGACGCATTAAACAAGTTTATCGAACTACTTGTCGGTAAGTACGATATTCCGGTAGTTACCGCTGCCGGTAATGAGGGCGAGGATGCTAGTACAAAAACCCCAGGGTCTGCCAAGGGAGCTATTAACGTCGGTTACATTAATAAACAATGGGGGCTTGCACCTCGTTCTAATTGGGGCCCGGCAGTAACTATTTTGGCTCCTGGGGTTGACGTGGAAACTACCGGTTCAGAGAGTGATACCAATGCTGTGTTAAAGAGTGGTTCCTCTTATGCTGCGCCCTATATTTCTGGGCTGGTGTTGAACGTAATATCCGTCCATGGGGTTAAAGGCGCCGCCAACATCAAGAAATATCTCCTGGAGAAAGCGACGAAAGACCGGGCTTGTGTTTTCAAACGCACGCCAAACCTGGTAGCGAACAACGGGAATGCCATGCAAGACAAGGTCAAGCCAGGTGATAAATCTGCGCTTTCCAAACTAATGTGTTGTATTAAGGAGTCGCTGAACAAGTGTAAATAGAAAAGGATCTAGGCATATGTAGTGGAAAATACAGTGGCTAGGCAGACTGGTCAGTCGTAACTATCCAAATTCGCAGCACTTGTTCTCTCTCAAGTAGCTGTATCGCCTTCTTTTTAGCTAGTAAACACTTCTATCGGTGATAGAATTATGTACAAGAGTTCCATAAACACTTGATAATAAATTGTGTTTTATCCTTCAGTTATAGACGGCTAAGGAAAGTGCACATGTGCCATGCCCTACGATACAAGTAGAGCCATCATCTTTAATAACTTGATCAAAAACAACACATGCTGAAATAAAGAGAGCCGTATTCAGGCCAGGCAACACAGTCCACATGGCAGTGCACTAGCCGCTACAACAATGTATAATGTGAGCCTGAAGACACCAACACGCTAAATGCTACGCCCAACTTGCCAACACCTATCATCTCGTGAGTCCTGATTCCAGGTGCAATAATTATTTTACCTCTAGCTTTGTACTGTATTAGATGTTGCGATTGAAGATTTGCATGCCTTTATCACAGCCTCGCAATGGATCTATGTCGTTGCAAACGGAGTCATCCTCGGTCTCATACTCTGTATCGTCTATATCGTCACTTCCGAAGCCGCTATTACTTTTATAATCTTTAACGCTAGGCGTATCCTGGATAGTATTACTAGATCGGCCCTGGTTAGGGTTTATCTTATTTATTAGTAGCCGGCCGGAAGTTGTATTGAAATAGCTATAAGCCTTATTATCCCAGATCACTTGAGCTTATTGTATTATATATTGTTGCTTTATAACGTAAACAAGTTTTTCTTGGGTATTTTTAGGTAACAGATAATAGCAAAAGACGAAAGCGATATAACGTTTCCAGTATTTGCGATACTTTGCGCGAGCTGCTATCCCGGGCCACAATTTTAAAAGGTTTCATGTTATGTTTCATGTTATGGCTCTAGGTCCATACTAAAGCCAGCAAAGGATCGGGCGGCTAGTATGTCGTACTGTCTCTTCGCAGCGATTAAGCATAAGATCCACTATATTCATAAGGTAAGATAGTTTATACTTATTCTACAAGGAAAATATCCAGGACTTAAGCTCTAGTAAAAGACCCCAAGGAATTTCTAACGGTTTGCTGTTCAGTAACTATGTTAGTGCTAGCAGGGTGCCTCGTCGAGCGTTCCCATCCATAACAAGCCATCGGGTTCGATCCACCCAAGGGCTTGTAGATACCCATGGTTGACTCTCTGTATCGTATCTTGAGACCTCCAGGTTGTTCCAGAGTTCCAATCCACTCCACTGAATCCACTGGCGCCGCCAGTAGAATAGATAGACCTTAATCCACGAAGCCTGTTAGTAAGGTAAATGTATTTAAAGCTGTTGTAAAGTAGAATAAATATAATAAATATAGTAGGTTAGTAAATAAGTCTATTATGTTAGTAATAAGTAGTTACTTAAAGTTATACTATTCTTAATACTTTAACTTAATTCCATTTTACTTTTTATAATTATAATATTACTTTTAATTCGGCAGGCACCCGGAAACTTAACTTAGCCAGGCAATTGTTTACGACGTAAATTTGTAACTGAGAGGCTCCATGCAGACTCGGAACCTAAGCTGAATATCCTGGTGGGTACATATGTCAACATTGAATAGCATAAGGCCTCGTTGTTCGGCAAGGCAGTCCTGTCAACATCACCTTGTTGGCTTGATCGGTCTTTGGATAACCTTTCCTTGGTAGTAAGCAGTGCTACAGAGACTGCATTGAGAGCAATCTATATTCCAGTGCCTAGATGCTCCTGATTTTCTCTGAAATTGAGTCATAGAGCTGAAGCACAATACTACTGGTTTTTCATCGTATGCCAAGCCCTTTCAACCTCAGGAGACAGACGCATGTAGGGACACGTATAGGAAGATTAACCCGAAATGTAGGAATTCATTATCTATAAGCACTAAATTTTTCAGCGCCATGCCGTAATTAGTCTCAGCTGCTGGGCTTCGCGTGAGCCATCATCAGTCCAATCAATATGGCCAAAGCCCGACTGTAGTAGAATTGTCTTCCAATCCCGCTCCCCCGCTAGAGCATATGTCCGGTGGTCATCAAAACGCCACCATCCGTCAAGCAAGCCAAAGACACAGTCTAACCACTCTAGTGGTCGTGTCAGCTCCAAAAGGCATAACACACCCCCGTCCTTTCGAAGCAGTTTTTCTAAATTGCTGCAGGACTTTCGCAGGTCTCGCGTTGCGTGAATACAGTTTGCCGAGATAACCAGGTCGTACGATTGCGCGAAACTTGCCGGTGGTTCTTTCTCGATATTGAGCGTCTCAAACTCCATGTCAAATCGCTGATGCTGGCCATATCGTGAAGTAAGCTTCTCCCTTGCGCTGGCGACGAGAGCAGCGGAGACATCAGTAAATGTATAGGTGAAATCCACGTCACATGCCAGTAGTCGATCTACCACGAGCTGTGTTGTTGCTCCCGTGCCTGCCCCAATCTCCAGAATACGGATGTGGTTTAGCCTATCTGGCGTCTTGTTGTAAGAAAAGAGGCAATTCATGAATTCGCCTAATAACAGATTGCCAGTTCCAAACATGGGTGATTTAACATAGACATCTTCCAAGAGCTTAATCGAGGTCGCGTTTTGAAAGAGGATCTGCAGAGGATCTACCTTGCCCGAAATGCAGTCTGCAAGGCGCGCTCCTGTAGTGTGTAACAACTTGTGATCTGGATGGTAGCTCGGGTAGTCATTCAAAATAGCCTTGTGCATATCCTCCGCGCTCCTCTCCGGGAACGAAGCCAGGCCACCCAAGTAACGCTTATTCAAAACATTGATAACACCCTCGCTTCCTAGGATGTCGAAAAGCCGATTCATCAAATTTTGGTACTTGGGCTTGAATTGAACGGAGGGGAGTTCGTCTCCCACTTGAAGGGATCTTATATCGCACCCTAGTTCCCGAAAAGCCTGCACAATATATGCTAGAACCAGAGATCTTTGCCTTGGATGTACATCTGAAAAGAAGTCATGGAACCCAGCGGCCTTGATTGTTGAGGAAATCTTTTGTTTCAAAACGTCCATAGCAGGCGGAACTTGGCGAATAAATAGGGTATTTGATCGATCCAACGAATCGTTAAAGGAGAGAGCCGCATGCTTGATATGGCTGTATCCCAGCCGAAGCGGGACGGCCGACTCAAGCCTGTCCTTGCCTGTCTGGTCGTGTAGAGGGACAAACCCAAACTGATCAGTCTGCTGCTGTGGAAAGATCGTGTGAAAGAGGGTTGAGAATGTCGAACTCTCGTTGATGTCCATAAGTTGTGAATTCTTCCCAAACATCTGTTCGATGTCTGATTGAAGTTGGATCGCAACCAGTGAGTCCAGTCCAAGTGCCCCCAAAGGTGTGTCCGGAGACAGATCTTTGGGATAGTTCAAATGGTTTGAGAGTAAGTTGAATAGGGCACTACCGGCTCCCTCTGTCATTTCCTCGGTGTCCATGGCTTGTAATCGAGATTCCAAACTGGGAGGGCTAGAGGATGTGGACCGAGAGGAGCCTGAAATGACGTCGTATTCTGGGATCAAGTGGTTCTCTTCATCCATATGACCACTGGTTGTCATGGAACCGAAATCATCTTCTCTGATAAAGATTGGCTTATCTGCACCGGGGATTGGGAGACACGGGCTCGCATCGTCCCCGCTTATAAACTCCGTGATTGAGCTGCTTGGCGTTCTGCCACCTGAGGTTTGTGGAACTCCGTTGATCCTTTTGAGCGCACGTTTTAAAGAACTAATCGCAATTTTTTGAAACTTGGCGCCGAGTATTGTCATGGAAAGGATTTTGCGCTCAGCACAGAAGATGAAGATGTCACACAGGATGCCGTCGTTTTCCTGATGATCGAAGCTATAGAGGCCAACCCAATGCCCTTTCGTACTGGGCTCTGAGTCCTCGGCGTTGGTATAAGCAGTAGCGGCATCGAAGCCGTTGCCGACGTATATCTCGTCAGGCGTCACACCTCCCAGGTTGTTGGCCTGCATTTCGGCTATGAGCAAAAAGTTGTCCAGCATCAAGGGGTTGAAGGGCGTGGTTGGAGTAAATTGTGAGGCAATTTCAGGTTCAAAAACGTGGGCAACTGTCTCAAACCCCTTTGATGTAATAGAGCGTACTCCAATATATCTGTCGTCATATCTCGCCACGCTGTTTATGATTTTCTTGATGAAGTCGCCTTGCACAACAGAGGCGCTGACGTCTTTGCCCAACTCCTCACATCGGTCGTACAGCCGACGAAGAACTGGTCGATGTGGAGCGAGGTGGGAATACACTTCCTGCAGGGTAATAACACCCGTAGCCTGGAGTACCGAGCCTCTTTCTTTTTCGTGGATGGGATGGCTCTCGACTCGAAACTCCCATGCATCTTCTCCCAGCTTTCGTAGTATCATACGCAAGGACTTTTGCAGGTCGAAGCCGAATGGCGCATGTAGCTTGAGGTTCTTCAACTCCATCGAGGCCGAAGTTGAGAAGGAGACCAACTTATGAGTCGAGAGCAAGCGAAACGCGCGGGTGGCGGATTCTATGTACATAGATACCGGTGCTAGAAGGTGTTCAAAGACTGTCCTCCCTCGGACATACACGGAATACTCCTCGCTATTCTGGTTGATGGAGTACTCGACTGTTTGTACACCCGCATTTTGTGTTTTCCCGATTAAGGAGACTAATGTCGCTTTTTCTTGAATAACTGGCTGACCAACTTTCTCGTTCTGCGCTCTCTTAGCATGCTTCACCACAGGTAATAAGTATTCTGACTTCATAAAAGGATGAAGAGGTAGTTCCAACGGGGCTGGAGAACCTGTCTGAGACCGGTGATATAGCCAAAACTGAACTCGTGTGCCTGCATTCCAGAGATTGATAGTCGTGTCCGCCAGAGCCTTCACCGAGTCTGGTTCGCCTAGTGCTGCCGGATAAAACGAATGGGTTGATAGACTGCGAGTTGGGCCATGCGTGAGGGCACGTCGCGCCATGTTGACTCCGG